AGACTGAATGGAAGTGGAGCTACCTGGTTATATGTAGCTTGATGGTATTATTGATATCATGGCCAAGATCTAGAGAACTGGTCACGCCCTTATCAGATAAAGCCATGCAGAACGGCAGAATGACGAGACTTTACCTGTATAGACACTGGTACACCATTTGCTGATCAATCTACATAATCATGTATTGTACATCACAACTTTTTTATTGTCAGATCGGAGGTATGGCTAATGCAAGAGTCATGAGGGCCTTCTTGGTCCTCTTGCTGACAACGCTAGCGAAGGCTGAGCTGACGCAGTTGGTCATTGGAGAAGAAATTATCGTTTCCTATAACGGCCATGAGGTACAGTTCATAATTCATTAATTTTCAGGAAGAGGGGGAGGGGGGTGTCCTGGGGGAGGCCGGGTCTGGAATTTCCAATGGGATATTTTATTTTTCTATCTGGTTTGTCGTTGGTGTTATTGAATTGTTGTATATAAACTTATATACGTACAGACGCGCACGCCGATGCATGTAACACCCAGATTACCACCCCCACACACAACACAAACCGTCTCAACACAACACACGTCGACCCATTATACACCCCTTAACTCCATTCCTCTTTCTCCCTCTCCCCCCCCTGCCCCACCACCACAGGTCTTCCATCACACGCGGGAGAACCCAGTCATCACCTTTGGCGTGGGAAAAGCCAACTACACTGAGGACCACGGGATGTTCGACGTCCAGGAGGAAATTCTCGAGGTCGTCCCTGTCGATCGGATCGTTATGGCTTCGAACAGGACTGGAAGTGTTCGAATCACGTTGGGTTCCTATGTTGACCCTGATGTCGAGGTGGGTGGGCGGGAGTGTTTTGTGTGTGTAGTGTTTGTATGCATATGTGTTGTGTATTGTTTTGTGTGTGTGTGTTTTTGTGTTTTTGTGTTTGTGTGTTGTGTTTGTTTTTGTATTATTTTATTGTTTTGTGTGTATTGTGTTTGTTTTTGTATTATTTTATTGTTTTGTGTGTGTTGTGTTTGCATGTATGTATGTGTTGTTGCATTTTGTCTGTGTTGTATTTGTGTGTGTCGTGTCATGTGTTTTGCACATGTACGTTTGTTCATATTTGTTTTTCTTTATGGCTGTGTTGTGTTTTGTTTGTATAATGCACATGTATGGTTGTCTTTGTTTTGTGTTTAGAAGCGTATGTTATGTGCATGTCAGGTGTTTATCTTTACACGACCTGGCATTCTTATATGCAAATATATATGGGTTTGTGGCTGTAAGTAATCACACTCTCTCTTTATATGTTTGTGTGTATAATGCATATACATATCTGCTTGGTTGATATATATACTTATGCAGCGTATACTTAAGCCTTTGTGTCTTTGTGTTTGAGTATATCAAAGTGCTATGGGTTTCGGAAATGTTACAAAAAAGGCTTAATGTTTACAAAGACTCTTCCTATTCCTCAACAGATACGCTTGACCGCTGACATATATATGGACAGCTACCTCGGCATGTTTAACAATCTCATGACAGATAGTCCTTATAATCGTATGTGGCTTAGGCTCTCTGCTGACGAGGACGAAAAGGTTTATGGTGGCGGCGAGCAGTACACGTATTTTAACCTTCGTGGTCGACATTTTCCCATTTGGACGAGCGAACAAGGTCGGTTGCGTTTTCTGTTCATGCTTGTGGCTACTTTTTTTTAGAATCCTTCTTTCTTTCTTTTCTCTCTCTCTCTCTCTCTCTCTCTCTCTCTCTCTCTCTCTCTCTCTCTCTCTCCCTCCCTCCCTCTCTCTCTTTCTTCTCTACGTTGCTTCTCGTTTTTTTCTTCCTTTGTTTCCTGTTTTCGTTGTCTTCCTTTCCCGTTTTCTTCATATTTTCTATTTTTTTAACGTTTATTTCTTCTTTCTTTCTCGTCACTTCAGGTTGTCACATCCTTTCTTTGCCTAACAATTATCACTTCGTTCTCTCTCTCTCTCTCTCTCTCTCTCTCTCTCTCTCTCTCTCTCTCTCTCTCTCTCTCTCTCTCTCTCCCCCCCTCTCTCTCTTTCTTTCTGATTTTATCTTCAGTTTATCTTCTTGTTCTCTTCCTTATCATCTGTATCCCATTTTTATTTCTCATTCTATCTCTGTCTCTCACTCTATCTCTCTACCTCTATCTCAATTCGGTAATTAATAGGATGTTGTAGATGTATATAGACTTAATTAGATATTAATTAATTAGATACATTAGATAAGAGGATACAGATATTCTGACACATGTACTTCAACATCATATTCTCCATCTACCCCATTTTCTCTATCTCCTCCATCTTCTCTGTCTCCTTTGTCTTCTCCATCTCCTCCATTATCTCTATCTCCATCTCCCCCATCATCATCATCTCCATCTCTTCCATCTTCTCCATCTCTTCCCTCTTCTCCATCATCTCCATCTCCATCTCCCCCATCATCATCATCTCCATCTCCATCTCCTCCATCATCTTCATCTCCCTCATCTCCCCCATCATCTCCAT